CTTTCTGACCTGTAAAATGAAGGGGTCGAACAAGCTGATCTCCATGGTGCCTTCTACCTCAGACATTACCTCCTCTGGGGAAGAGGAAAACTAAAGAATTTGGTGACTGCTTAAGGATGTCTCACTCACATTCCCAGCTCCAGGCTGACCTGGGCCCAATCCAGCCTCTCTAGACAACCTTAATAAATAAATGGCTCATGGTACCTGATAGGTAAGGTCCTTGTGCAGGTAAGTGATTGCAGGAGCCCTAAATGGAACAAGCATTTTGTGGAGCCGTAGCTTAGCTTGGAGGTAGATGGTACCTGTGTTGTACAGATAAAGAAACTGAGATTCAGAGAGGGGAAGCGGCTTCCTCAGGCCAAGCAGCAAGTTGGGGTGCAAACTCCAGTCTTACTAACTGAAGCCTGTTCTTCCCACTGATGGTGTCCTTCTGCCACACTGGGCCACATTTGGTCTCTGGCTGTGAGTTTCTTGGACTGAGGTGCATACAGACAGGGGAGGTCTCAGGTGTTGAGGTCTGACTCTAGGCACTTTGGGAGGTAGGAAAGTTTTAAGACTTTGCTGTGGTCTTTGTGTAGTCAAGGTGAGGGGCTGAGCTCAGGCTGGCAGGAGCAGTGTAAGGCAAGGGCTTCCTCTGTAGGACTTCAGAGGAAGGACTTCAGAAGAAATAGAGGGACCTGAAGGATGGGTGCCCTTTAGCTGAGGAGTGAGGAAGGGGTGGGCTGAGGGGGCAGTGCAGGCAGCTGCTTGAGATGGGACTCTGTGGGCCCTTGTTGAGTGGGCCCTGGAGTGGGCAGGGCTGGGGTAGGGCCTGATGGAGGTGGAAGCAGGAGGGTGGGTGGGCTCTAGGACCCTCATCCTCTCTACCTTGAGCTCAAGCTCCCCCCACCTCTGGTTTGCCAGTTTCCTCTTTTTCTCATCACTCTGGCTTTATTCATTGTCATTCTAAACAAGTGCCATGGAAGGGTCTGGCTACTGCATGGATGTGTGATGACACTTCACCCACCCAGGGGGCTAATGAAACTGCCCAGGTGCCACTCTCTGTCCTCACACCTGGATGGATTGCTGGTGGCACAGACAGCAGAGTCAGGGTACCTGAGTCTCTTCCAGTTCTGCTACTTGGTGAGCTAAGATGCGTGTTTTTGATAGGTTACTGAGCCTTTTTGGGCCTCAGTTTCCCTGTCTATATAAGGGGATAGGCAGGGAGGATGTCATCTACTGGGATGGCTTTTTTTTTTTTTTTTAAGATGCCCGGTAAGGGGATCTTAACCCTTGACTTGGTGGTGTCAGCACCATGCTCTCCCAAGTGAGCCACAGACTGGCCCTTGCTGGGATGGCTTTTATCAAGAACAACAGAGAGCATTCAGGTCAGACTTCCTGTGACTTAGCCTCCCCGGCTATGCTCCCTGGAAAGGGCCTGGGAACTTGCCGATACAGACCTGTCATGTAATCCATAACTGCCTTGACCTCAGCTTGTTTCCTGAGAGGTGGCCAGGAATAGGATGGAAGCTATATAGTGCAGGCTTTTGGGCACTTTAGAACCTAAAAGATGGAACCAGAGGAGAATGGGCATCGGCCTAGAGGGAAAACTGAACAAAAAAATCTGAGCTGGAGAGGAGGAAATGATCCCCTATACTCATCCCCACCCCCACCCGAGCAGGAAACTTTGTGCTGAGAACTCGCTATTTAAGGGGGCCTCTGGGGAGGTCTGGCTAGAAAGGAGCCATTTGAGGGAAGGTTTAAAATTAGCTCGGGTGAAGTGTGATCTCTGGGGAGAACTGGGGCAGAGGCCTCCATGGGGCCACTCTGGTTCTGGGTCTTTGACCCAAACTGTGTCCTGCCATCCTGGGAAGGATGGAAAGGAAAGGAATTGGAGGGAATAGCACTGACCCGAGTCCACCCAGCAGGGCCCTGGAGGCTTGCATCCTTCTAGTCCATCCTCTGGGGGTATGGAGTGGGGGTAGATCCTGAGGGTTGGGTGCCCTGGTCCTGTTGTACTTGCCTGGTACTCAGGAACAGTCATCATCTCTGCCAGGCTAGATGTGTAGCAGGGAGACCTCGGTTTTGAGTCCCAGGTCTGCTGCCTTTACAGAACAAGCTGTGTGACCTTGGACAAGTCACTTCTCTCTGGGAATTTACATGTAAAATTCCAGAGCCTGACATCAGACAGCAGAGGAGCCTGTAGGGTCTGGGATGTAGAGGTTGGTTGCTCTGGAGCCCAGGAGCTTGGTTTAGCCCACCCTGGAGCCTCAGCTGTCCTGTTCCCCACGGCGCTGCCAGGAACAGGGCAGACCGTGAGAGCTGTGTGTATAGGAAGCAGAGCCGCCAAGGGCTGTGAAATGTGAAGAATCTTCATCCCAGGCCCGGGAGCAGAGGCTGGAAAGATGACGTGTCTGGTGAGGGAAAGGCATGACCGAAGGGGGAAGATGTGTCCTACGTGGCCAGTATCTGCTGCTAGGTGTGCTTGGAAAAACTCATGTGAGGGAAGAGGTTTGTCCTGACCATGGCTGAGAATCACTCCTGTGTGGGTAGGGGTGGTGACACTGGTCACCGGCAGCTATCGAAGCTGGTTTCCTTTAGCATCCCGGGCTCTGGGAAGGTCTGTGTGTGTGTTGGGTATAACTTGGCTGAGCACTGCTCCGGGTTCCTGATACAAGCCATTGGCTCAAAATGGCTGTTGGGTTGAACTGATGGGTTCAACAGGCCATCACTAGAGATGGAGCAAGTTCTCTGGTACCTCTGGAGAAGGGGATGTGGCCCACTGTAGGGCAACTAGATGTTTTCAAGAATGGCCACGTGATGAGGTGAGAAAGGTGGATGTTTAAATCTTAAATCAGCAGTGGTGAGTTGAGACCTCTGTTTGGCCTAGTGTTTGAGACGTGGTTCAAAACAGGAATCAAGTGTGTAGGGAAGCTCTTCTCATTTGGACTTTTCATATTCGGGAAGCCACAGTTTCAAGATGTGTTTTTAATAGATCTAAACTATGAAAACTTCCCCCTCCCCCATCATGGTTATTGGCTGACCTGGGCTTACTAGTTTAGCATTTAAATGGTAGTAGTGAATTAGGTAAGCGGTTCTGCCACCCCTCACAGACCCCATCTGCCTTCAGGAGATCAGATTTGGCTGGAGTCACAGGATGGACACCTGGTGTTTAGACTTAGCTTCACCACCAACTCGTAACCATGTTTAGGGCAAGACTCATAATTTATTGCATCTCTGCCTCACTTGAAGTTGGCAAGATCCCTCTCATTCTTCAAAACCCAGCATAATTGTTCCACTTCTGACTCCTTACCCATTCCCCTATCTAGTGAACATTTAGTACCAGCACCATGCTAGGAGCTGGGCGT